CCCCAAAACCCCAAAACCCCAAAACCCCTCAAAATACACCTAAAATTGAAACCTCTCCAACCCGCCTCTCCCCCACAAAAACCCTCCCTGCTCAATTATATCTAAAAATGCAGCACAGGCCCCAAAAATCCCCCACAGCGCTCCCTACCCAAAAGCCCATCGCCCTCAAAACAAACTTCTTCCAGCTCCAAATAAAGAACCACTCAAAGAACCAAATCCTTTACAAGTACACTCTAACATTCAGCCCTGAAATCCCTGAAGACTCTAAACGTACCAAAGCCAGAGTCTACAGAAGCATCCACGAAGACCTCCAGAAGTCCATCGGAGAGAACCTGTACATAGGTAATTGTCTATATGCCTTGGCCCAGAAGGATGACCCTGTGGATTATGTGGGCAGGGATCATGATACTGAGTACCAGTGAACTGTTAAGTTGAGTTCTTGTATTAGTGAGAAGGATCCTGAGAGATATCAGGTGGTGAAGATTATTTTTAATGGGTTGTTGAAGAAGTTGAGGCTTGAGCAGATTGGGAGGAATCATTTTATGATGGAATTGATGAAGAAGGTTATGAAACATAATGTGTTTGTAGTCCCAGGGTATAGTTCAGGGATTAAGAGTACGACTAGTGGGATCTTGATCAATGTGGATGTGTCTCATAGAGTGCTGAGACATGATACGGTGTGGGATTATTTGAGAAAGACGAAAACAGATAGAGCGCAGATCACTTCAGAGTTGGTTGGAACTACTGTCATGACGATTTATAATCGGAAGACATACAGAGTGACAGGAATTGACTTTTGTTCCAGTCCGATGAGCACCTTTGAAGATAAAAATGGGAATAAGATCAAATTAGCTGATTATTATGAAGAGAAATATAAGAAAGTCATAAAGAACAAGGAACAACCTTTGCTGATCCATGAAAATCCAAAGAATAGGCAGAAAATACAGCTTATTCCTGAATTTTGAGCAATGACTGGCATTAGTGATGATATGAGAAAAGACTTCAGGTTCATGAAAGATTTGGCTACAATGACCAACAAAAAGCCTGCAGATCGCTTTAATGGGTGAGCTCAATTATTTCAAACAATTATTACTCATGAGAAATGAAAGGGACAGCTTTCAAATTGGAACATGACTCTTAACAAGGAAGGTGTTGATGTCCAAGGCAAGCTTTATGATTCTGGAAAACTTTTAATGGGCTACAATAAGCGAATTGATCCAAATTCACCAAATATTGATAAAGAAATTCAAGCAAAAATGCTCCTCCAACCAAAGCTCAGAAAATGGGCTATTTTCTATATGCAGAAAGAGGAGAAAATACGATGTGTTTTTAAAGATACCTTTAAGAAAAGCATGGAATCATTCGGCTATCCGGTTGATTGTCCAGCCTATTTTCCTGTGAAAACTCAACATTTTGAAGATTGGAAGTTTTTATTAGATCAAAAGCTAAAGAATGGTGCTGATCTGATTATTTTACTGTTACCAGGAAGTAAGAAGAATAGCCCTCTGTATCATGACCTCAAAGAATTGATGTTGAACAAAATTCCTATTCCCTCCCAAGTTGTTCTCACAAGTACAATATCCAAAGGCAAGAACTTGAGATCTATTTGCAATAAAATCCTTATTCAAATTTGTGCGAAAGTTGGAGGTGTTCCTTGGACTATCTCAGAGCTTCCTACTGTTCAAAACGGAACAATGATATGAGGACTAGCAGTACAAGAAGTCAAGAATAAAAACATGTCTGGAGTGATTGGCTTTATTAGCTCAAAAGATAAACTATGAACTAAGTATTATTCCAGTTCAAAGGTATTAGGTGGCAAAAGATCAAGAGAGAATGCGGAGAATATTTCAAATATCTTGAAAGAAATGATGGGAACTGCTTTAGAACAGTATAAAAAGAAAAGTGGCGAATATCCTCAAAATATTATCATGTACCGAGAAGGAGCCTCAGAGTCAAGAAGAAAGGAAATAGAACTCTTTGAAGTCTCTGCTATCATTAAACTAATAGAAGAAAAAGGGATCAATACAAAACTAGCATACATGCTAGTATGAAAAAGAATCAACGTAAAACTATTCCGAAAATCACATAGTGATTTACAAAACTGCCATCCTGGAACAGTTGTCAACACCGGCATCACAGAAGACGACAAAGAATTCTTCCTCATCAGCCAACGGACTCTCCAAGGAACCTCCGTACCAACCCACTACCTAAACTGCTTCAACAACACAAATATCTCCCCATCCGAAATCCACGCTCTAACCTACAAACTATGCTTCACCTACTTCAACGTAAGCGGGTCCATCAGAGTCCCTTCCCTCGTCCAATACGCCACTAAATTCTCCGACCTAATGATGAACGTCAGTAAGCCCACCAAGTACAGAAATTCCTTCCAACAGACCGCTCTCCACACAAGACTCCAAGAAATCTCTTCTCTATATTTCATCTAATTCCTTCAGAACCTGTCTAAATCTATCTTTTAACCTAGAATTTTCAATTTAGGTTATTGAACTGGGGTTTTGGGGTTTTGGGGTTTTGGGGTTTTGGGGTTTTGGGG